AAAAAAAATAAAAATAAAAAAAAAAAAAAAAAAAAAAAAAAAAACAGAAATGATTCCAAGATATAAGCATGAGTCAAAGATGACATATTACCTTATCATGAAATGCTTGAACAAACTCATCAAGAGTGAAGGGACAAATATCAACAATCATCGCATATGTATAAATGAAATGGAAAACCTGCCAAAATAAAGTTAGTTCTTCATCAATTTAATGTTCTTTGCCATTAAAAAAGAGGTTCAATAGAATAGGAAATAAGGCAAGACAGTAACTTCAGTACAGCTTGACAATTATGATGTTTGCTAATTTAAGAAAGAACTGTGTCACATAAAAAAATTAATCCAGCAGTGTAACTGACAAAATCCAAACATCAAAAATAATTCATCCAAGTTAAAACAAAAAACCATCACGATCTTTCCGACAAATAGCAAGGTTCAAGATTTTCCTTCACTTTTACATTATATAACCTATTATATTATATTCATCCTATGTTTAAAATCCAGAAGCGTAAACAAAATACAAAGAGAAGAAAGAATGTTGACCTCCTAGCCTTAAGTATTCTGTTATAACAATAATGGTAGGGAGGGATAAAAAAGAGGAGTCATGGTCTCATATAGCACAGAAGTGAGTACAGTAACAGGAGGCAAGCAAAACCTCCTCCCATGGCTGGTTCAATGCTCCCCAGCATAAGAAATTCCAGGCATGGCTAGTTTTCAGTGGCAGGTGGAAAACATAGCATGTGATCCTAGAAGTGAAATTCCACATTTCTCTTCATTTCTGATCAATAACCTTGTAATTTTTTAGGTGTTCTATGTGTTTTGATCATGTCAGTGTCTGAAACCAGTTTAATTCCACCTAAAACACTTGCCACATCTTTCACAGACAGGTTGTAACAGACGTGTCAGGTTCACAACTTCAATGACTTCACCCTCACTTAAAACACTTGTGTATGTCTCCAAAATTCCCTTATGTCTTCATGCCATCCAAATTATTAACAGAACCTGGCTTGTTGGTTTTCATGTGATTATGATTTCACTTTTTTATTCATGACTGAAGTGGAACATTCGAAAGTGAGAGAATAATATGGTGATGGGAAGGTAAAGATATGACTAGGAGAATCACAAAGTCTAAAGCCCTTAAAACTTTTCTAATTTTCTGAGATATTAGATAATGAGTCATATAATATAACAATAACAATTAAGCCTTCACCAAAATTAATAATGACTATAGTAAACTTTAGAACAAAAACTATGCTAAAACAAGAAAAATAAGACCAGCAAGCAATCCATAAGAAACTATGCTGAATTTTGGGTCTGCCATCACATGCCACTGACAAAGGACAACAAAGATAAAAAGTTAAGCTATTTCTGTAGTAAAAATGTATGTTATAAAAGAGAAACTTTAGTGGATGAGTGTAGAAACACATCTGGACATACGACATGTAACAATATGTAACAATTAACAAATACATGTACATTAACATAATCATATCTTCCAAGTCACAACTGATTGATCATATGCACCTTAAATAATTTCTTCACAATTTCTGGAGACGAGTCCCAAGGTTGCAAACGGATAGGTTTCTTCATCTTGACAGTGTCTGGGGGAAACTTCACTAGCACATCTGCAAGAAGCCGCATGTCAGTGACTGGAATTAAACAGAACATTCCAGCTTTATAACACCATTACTCATTTGAATAGATCACAGAATACAGGTCAATTTTTATTCATTACAGAATCACCTGTACAAAGTGAACGGCCAAGCATTCCACTGGAAGCAAGATGATCAGAACACATAAACAGATCGGTTCCTTCTTGCAACTCCCTCAGCTCTAACTCTTCATCATCAATTAACATTGAAACTCGATCAACTCCATCCTCGGATAAGGCATTATCCAAAGCTAGTTCACATTTTTCCTTTGGTGGCTGATTCAGAGTCACATATAGGTTCAATTCCCCCTGCCAGATAAGAGAAACTCAAAAAACTTGCCAAACCATTCAACAGTAAGCACAAAAATGTACATTCAACTTTTCTAATTACCACTCTTCTTTGCATGGAAAGTTTCCTCTTATCCTGCGATTTATTTCTCTTGCTCTGCATTTTATTTTTTGGCATTCCCTGTTCACAAAATAAAAAAATATGAAATTTATTATTATTAACCAAAAGTTGCATGTTGATTCATGTATTATAGAAAGAAAACAGTGTGAGCATAGCATTATGGGTTTAGATAACTTACGTTCATGTTTACTGTATTGCATGACCTGTTGTTCCCATGGACTGGTTTCTGTCTTGTAGAATTAGATATTAGAGGAACTTCTTGGCCAGCAATGCCAAAACCAATGGGAAGGTCTCTGGAATCAGGATTTGTTGCCCTCCAAACTGTCATCAGACCTTTGCCAATACCGTGTTTCCTCACAGGTGCTTTTGTGTTACAATCCACAGGACTTTGAATTGCACTCTTGGAAACCTGAGGAAAGAGGACTTATGAAAATGTAAAGGCATGCTAAAAGATACATCAAAAGTCTTCCTTGGGATACTAAATGTTACCTTCCTCTTTTTGGTGGAACCTTGGTCCTCTTGACAAGCAGAAGTGAAATATTTGGGTCCTAACCAATCAAAGAGGAAATGGCAAAAATAAGGCTAGTTAAAAAAATTATAACAGTGGAATGCAAAAGAAATAATGTTATACTTGAAATAGCAGATATGGCTGAGAAGTGAAAAGCAAATTATGCATATATTTGTGAGGTACAAGTGCTCAGTGGAAGAAATTAAAAAATAAGTGTCCATTTTTACCACTCAATTTTCAATTGATCCCAAACAATTTATTTTCTTGCACCAGAAAGAGTAAGAGAACATTTGTAATGATTAATAAACAAAACATTATAAAACGTAGTTTAATTTCATATTGAGTATAAATATGAAGCTCAACTAACGAGTATTGAAATAATTCTACTCCCCTCCATCTACACTACAATCAAAGAAAAGGACAATATTGCACCAACTCTAATACAAAGTTCTTCCTTGAAAGAGTCATATTCCATTCATGCCCTATTGTTCTTCCAAAGTTATGATCATTCAATTTTATTCAAACATGAGGAAAATTATACATGTGATTAAGAAAACACATTAAGATTATACCCCATGTTTTATGAAACCTAAGCTCCCTCTTGCTTTATTATAGAATACATAGCTGAATTTTCATATAGTATATGTAATTGGTAAATAATAGCAATAATAATGAAACAAAAATAACTAGGACGGATATTTTTCAACTGAAAGTTTATAAAGCGGGTAAGAAGGTCGTAGATAACTATTTTTAAAATTTAATTTCTTTAAACTGAATAATCCAGCTTCTAAAATTACCAAACAGACGCAAGCTATTCCATTTATCTAGATTTGTTTTTCAATTCAAAAGCCTAATACTGTATATGTTGCAACTTGCAATGTACAGTAATTAATCAACAAATAAAATACAAAAAAAAGTCACTGAATCCACTGCCGATAATCATTCAATATCAAACAGGACTAACCTGTCCCTATCAAATACAATAAAAGAAACTGCAGATAATTTCAGTTTGGATAAACTTCTCAAAAAAACACTTTTAAGAGAAGAAAATAAGAAAGAAAAATGAAATAAGTTTCTGGATTACGTATAAACTAATTTATAGAAGCTCATCCATATTAATTTTTTCAAAACATAAGCTAATTTTACTTTATAAAACTACTTATTCCATATTTTTCTTCTTATTTTTTGTTGCATGAAACACTCAGAGAAGTTTATCGAAATAAGCCCAAAGTATTATTCATTTATTCGGTAGAATAACCATAAATCTCTTCAAACGCACCAGGAGGGAAATCAAATTCCTGACCAAGTGGAGGACCACCCTTCCGCAACACGTTGTTCACAATATAATCAGTTGTAAGCAGCTCCTGAAGACATTTACGCTTTTGCTTTTTCTTAACATTCCTCGTCACAGCCATATCGTATCTTGAAGTTGAATAAGCGTTTCTCGCAGCAGCATGCGCGCCAAATTCCTGGCGCGAAGAACTATACGACGGGACTATCACTCCATTTCCACCGTTATGCCTCTGCGCCGTGCGCTTCTCATAGCCTTCCATTACCCTCAGTGTTCAGTGCTTCTCATCTGCGTCAAAAAAAAAAATCAAAGAGACTCGAAATTAGAGTTCGGAAATGACGCAGAAACGCGAGGCGAAATGAATTATGCGGAGAATATGCAATCCGATGAAACACTAAAATTGGTTGAATTGGATTAGGACGGTTGAGTGTGAAGTGAGAAAAATGAAATGGAAAGAGAAGAGTGATTGGATAGAGATGTGAGAAATTTACAGCGATTAGTGATTGGAGAGTGTGGAAATGAAATGAAATGACGCAGGGGAAGTGAGTTGAAGATGTGAAAGGAAGCAGAGGAGGATAATGCCAGCAGAAGTAGGGTTTTGGGTTTTATGGAAGACGATAAATATCTCTCTTGTTTTACCAAAACCCATTGCAGCGGAAAAAAAATATCAAAACTAAATAATTCTTCTTATTGGGCTCTGTTTCAGTTCAGCCCACTCAACGTAAATAAAAAATTTGGATGATGATAAATACACCTCCGTTTTCATATAAACATACCCCTTTTTTTTATAAATATATAAAATTTCTAAATTACTTTTTTTTTTTAAATATATATATATAATTTCTAAATTTGTACCTTTCACTCTTCTTCTTTCTTTTTTTCTCTTCCCTGCATCCCTCTTCTTCTTTCTTTTTCCCGCATCCCGCACCTCTGTTCATTCTCTTTCTTACACCCCTCTTTTTCTTTGTTTTTCTCGCACCCCTCTTCTTCTTTCTTTTTCCCGCACCCCTCTTTCTGAAATAGTAAAGTTTTTGTTCTGAAAATTACTTTCCAAAATAATAAAGTTTTTATTCCAAAAAATACTTTCCATAATAGTAAATTCTTATTCAGGAAAAGTTTTGTTACATAATTCCGGAAAGTACTCTCCGAAATGCTAAAATTAAATTTGGAATCTTATTTTTCGGTATGACAAATTAAACTTACGTGTTTCTTTATCTCCTCATCCACTACCGTCGTTTACGATTCTATTGTCCATAAGTAATGTTAAATAAGTTAAAAAAAATTATAAATATAAAATGTAATTTAATATATTAATTTGTACCTTGTATTGAATGTAGAGAATAATGAAGATTGAATGAAAAATTAGGGTTTAAGAAATAATAGAGTAGAAAGTGAAAAATAGAATTTAAAAGATAGAAAGATAAAATATGATTATGTTGATTATAAAAGAAGAAAAATCAAGAATGAAAAACGAAAAAGAATAAAATCATCAAAAAATGACTAGAGAGATGAAAAAGGAGAATGAGAAAAAGAAGAAGAAAGAAAAAGAAAAATGATGAAAAAAAGGTAAATAAAAAACAAATTTAAAAATAGAATTTAAAATAAAAATTTAGTTAGAAGGATATTTTAAAAATTTTATTTTAAAAAAGAGAGATTGAAGGTGTACTTATAAAAAAAAAAAAAGGAGACAAAATAAAAAAAAATTTATTAAATTAATGATAATAAAAAAAAATTATTCTGATAATTCAGACTTTAATATCCACGTATAATATTTAATAATCCACCACAAATCAATTATAAATCGTCATTAATGATTTTTAATATATTTATCATAAAAATTTAACAAACTTATAATTAAATAATACTTTAAAATTGTTTACATTACTAATACATATACGATATGAAAAAAATGATTGTGAAGGAAGACGTTATTAAAAATCTAAAGTTTCTTCATGAGATTAATTATTGACAAATTGATGTATATTTTCGATAGAATTATTTGTTTAAATTTATTAAAAAAAATAAAAAAATGAATAGTTTTTTTAAAAATATTTTACATGCTTGTCCAAATTACTTTTTAAGAAGAAAAAAGACAATTTTTTTTAGAAGCAATTCATGTTTCTTTGGAGATAATTTTTTAAAATGAAATTTGTCTTTAAAAATTTCCTTTTAAAAGATATCTTTTTATAATGATTTTTTAAAATTCTAAATAAATTGAAGAGAAAAAAATATTATGATGTATGAAATATGATAAAATTATTAATTTTTATAAAAATGTGTACAACTTTCTTGTCTTTATTTTTCTCCTTAACATCATTTTTTCAACTGCCTTTTACATTATTTGTTAGTTTTAATTACTCTGCTTTTTCTCCTTTTTTTTTCTCTTTTCTCTATGAATTATATTTTTTTAATACAAATAATATTTTTATTTTTATAATTAACTAATTAGTTGGTGGTGTAAAAAAATTCAAACTAACAATAAGTAAAAATTAAACTCTAACATTGTATACGATTTATTTTTTATGCCCATTATTTAATTATGGGTAGAAAATATCTATAATATTAGTAGTAGAATATAATTGAAATATATTAACATCGTCATTTAACGATTATTTGTCATTTATAGTAAAGTTGTTAATCATTTTATTAGTTACTTTAAAAGTCGTGGTTAATGTAATTTCTAATTATATAATAGTATAAAAAAAAGTCCAAATGTGATGTTTACAAAAGCAGTTAATAGTAATTATTTAAAAAATTATTATTCTATATTCACATTTTAAACTATCATTATCTTTAATCATAATTATAGTCCAGTTCATAATTATTTTTCATGACACCATTTTGGTGTGAAATGCATGCTATAAGAATGTTATTTGTGAGTTAAATTGCCTGATAGGTATTGATTTCGTCAAATTAGAGAAGCTGTGACACATCACTTCTCACCATTTTTATAGGCAAATTAATAAGTGTGTTGATTAGTTAGCGATCGATTATTCTTCTTATAATCATATAACTATATATTATTAGTACTTTACTGATAAAAAAAAATGCTTTAAATGTTTTACTTTTTAGAGTTTAATTTTTATTTGTTGTAATTTTCTTATTGTTGAAAAAATCACATGAATAAAAAATTATCATTAGAACCACTGGTAACTTTTTTTAAATACTTAAAGTATAAAATAATTCTCAATATTTGAATATTGAGAATATATCTTCCAATTATATATATATATATATATAACTGCACGAAAGTTTTTTATACTGATAAATAAAAAATTCTCATTTCACTTTTATCTTTTTCATTTTATTCTTAATAAATATACCATGAATCACGATAGTTTTATTATTTTCTCTCTTTAATAAAGAGATGTTGTGTGCTTTTTTCGTTAATTATTTATAAAATTTGAAAATTTGACATTGATGTTAATTTTGGACAGGGAGAGTTAAAAGTTAAAACTCACGAGTTATAAGTGCGTTTTATTTTTTCGAATTTAGATCCTAAATCCTAAACCCTAATATTTTTTTCTATTAATATTGCAGGAGAGAGGCTGGAGAGAGAATATTGCAGGAGAGGATTCAAATTGTATTTTTTCCTAATATTTTTAAAGTTAAACGACGCAATGTCTGTTGTCGTATGAATGAAGCGGATAAATTTGGTTTAAAGCAGTGGCCAGTAAAGCGTAAAGCGACACGTCGTGCGACCTAGACGACACGGCCGCTATAATTAGGGTTTATGGCATCCATGAAATAGATCAATTTGGAGGGAGAGGAAGAGAGAAAAAAGAAAAAAAGGGAAGTTGAATCCAATGGCGTCAAGGGTTTCTCTGAAGGCGAAAGGAAAAAGCTCAAAGGGATCGAAGGCAACGGAAGAGCGATCAGCGAGCGAGTACCTGAAGGAGTGGACGACATGGACGATGAGAAAAGCGAAGGTTATCACACACTACGGATTCATCCCTTTGGTCATCATCATTGGTATGAACTCTGACCCTAAGCCCCCACTTTCCCAGCTTCTCAGCCCCGTCTGATCCATCATCGCCGCGACGTCGTTTTTTTTCTTTCTTTCTTTTGTTTTCCCCCTTTTACATTTGTATGCTTAGTTCTGGATCAACTTTCGCTTCGACATGGTGTGTTCCAAGTGCCTTAGCTTGTTTGCTTTCGGATAATTTTCGAAGACGTAGTAGTAAATAATTCGCTTTTTATAATTGCAATCTTTGCGTTTTCATTTGATATTCTCGCTGGATTATGATTTTGATGGATGGTATACTGTTGATGAATACTGGAAAATTTCTGTGTTACTTTAGGGTTTCGATTTCGTAAGATTTACTGCATCAATTTGGTTTTTTTTTTTCTACATATATTACAATTTAGCTCAGGATCAATGGATGTCATGTGAGAATTTTTCGAGACCAAATTGGGGGCGGGGGATTGATGATTCTTTTTTCCTGTGATTAGAAAAGAAAGATGAAAAATTGATTAGTGCTGGATACATTTCTCCTTAGGTATTTTTAAGAGAAAGAAATAAAAAAAATGAAATAAGTTTTTTTTTTTTTTTAGCTCCTGCATAAATTAATTTGTAGGAATTTTTTCATATTGGTTTTTCCTAAAAATTAAAAGCTAGTTTTAGTTTATAGGGAAATTCATTTCATTTTTTGTTGGATACATTAATGATCATCCAAAGAAGCTCTTTGTCTTGTAAGTTGCAAATGATTTTCTTCTGTGTGGGTTGTACCTCAAAAGAACGAAGATGGATATTTTTGGTTTGAGTAATGATTTTAAGAGGGGGACAAATAGAAATGGTAAACCAGCAGAGCTTTCCTCCTTCGTGACTGATATGGCTGCTGAGCATTCCAAATTGATTTGGCAAGTTTTGAGCACGACGAAACTGCCATCAATTTTGTCAAGATTGAGGATTGAGAAATTCCATGAAACTCAGTTTTCAATTATCTTTTGATAGCGTATTGGTTTACCTTTCTATTGAGTAAACCAATATAAACAAGCCAGGAGTTGGATATTGCAGGTTCAAGTCATTTGAATTGAGGAATGCACCAAATTAGTGCTTGTATGGGAACGACCAATTTAATCACTTATTTTCTTAAAATTAACAAGTATTTCTTTAAAATAAGCTAATGAAAATAAGCTACTTGAACTTGCTTATAAAGATAATCTAGTTTATAGACTAATCACGTTTTTATCTTCATTAATTTGTAATGAAATCTCTTTTTACTCGTTAACTTTTAATCTTTTATATCATTTTATATTTATCAACTAGTTTATTAGTCAATATTATCAAACATTTTTAATTTTTAATTCAATTAGATAGCTTATTACTTTTCATCTCGTAGTTTATATATAAGCTTCAACTGACGTGCAAGCAAATTTATCAATATCCTTGCTGTGCAAGTCTGGCTATAATCGGTTCTGTTTATACAGTATATTATCTGTTAATAAATTGGGTTCTGTTTTTACTTTTTTTATACATGAGATTATCAATTGATATTTTTGATTGGCGCTCATTTGATTTTATTATTTGGAAAGGGCTTACAACATACAATTCTTAGTAAAGGCTTTTTATTGATTAAATTTTATTGAAGATTATAAAATTATGATAAAAAATTATTGAGTAAAATGCGTGATCCGTCACGTTTATGAATTTTAATAATTTTCAATTAAAAAAAGTGTCTAGAGTGTGTTTTTAACATTTTTGTTATGGGAAGTTTTGTGCAAAATTTGTCGATCCATAACAAGTCAAATACAAGACACTCTTTTAGTATGCGTTCACCTTCTCAAGATCTCAAATTAACTGTCTTTTCTGGTAACTCAATCATGCATGGGGGTGCTTAATTGTTTAAGGACGTGTTTGGTAATTAAGCGAGTCACTCGTCGTGATCTTCTGAAATAATTAATAATTGCTGGTGTTTGTATAACTCCAAGAATCGTTTTTTATCCCCAAAATTATGGTGAAAAAAATTAGTGTAAATTATTTGATATTTTGATTTTCAAAGTGGTTTTGTAATTAATTTTGATAGAAGTGAAATTTAATTTAATCACACTATAAGCATAAGCTGAAGTTTTGCAAATTTTCAATGAAAATTAGACCCTATAGTAATTCAGAGAGTTATTTGTTAATAATTGCAAATTAGATGCAGTCATGGAAACCTTGTGAGCTTGACTACAATTATTTCAGATATTCAATTTATCTGTAGTAAATTATATTTTTGTAATTTATCTTTTTTTTAATATTTATCATGATCCTTAGTTTTTTAAAATGTTTATTTTGATTTTTTATCTTCTAAATTTAGATAAATTTAGTCCTTTTGGATCTTTTTTCGATTGATTTAAGACTTGAAACTTTTCTTATAAGATTCGGTTATATAAAAACTATGCGATGCAATTGAAATTCAAACTAAATGTGTTATAAATATGATATAAAAAATAATATTAAAAAAATTTAATTTCATGTTATTTTTTAATTGTTCATGAGATATATTTTTTATATAATTTTCACTAAGTTTATGTTCCTTTTGGATTCAATATAATTACATTTCATGATTTTTATTTAAATGAATCTAATATTATAAGTTCCAAGTTTCATCAATAAAAAAAATTGGTTCACAATCTAGTTACAAAATTAAAAGATCATTGTTTGAGAAGGATAAAATTGATTCAAATAAAAAAATAAAGAATTAAAATGAAACTAAAAATAAATTAAAAAAATAAAATAAAATATCAAAAGTATAATTTAGTTTATTAAATATAAATATAAGTTTTAATATGAAACTTAAATTCTCTCTCGATAAGTTGATTTCTCGTACATTCAATTTTTGCACGAACCAAAGAAGAAAAAACAGGGAGAAAAAATGAAAGCATTTTTTTTCTTTGTAAATTATAATTGAGTTTTAAAAGTTAATATATATATATATATATATATATATATATATGTAATATTTGGAATTAGAAATACTCGATAATCTTAATATATTTATCGGTGACTTTGGGGTCACTTTCTGTTTGTGCACCAATTATTATTGGAACCTTGGAAGAGTCAAAAAGCTGGCCTAGCTAGGCTGTCTATGATTGTAGGATATAGACGGTGAAAGGTAGAACAATTTTAATTGCAAATTTGTAATACACCATGAAACTCCACAAAAATGTGTTACTTTAAACTAAAACCTAACCATAATAATGTATAGGTTAATTAAAATCATAGTCAATAAGGAAAAAGAACACTTAAAAGAATTAGAATTAGAAAGAAAAAAAAATCTACAAAATCATATTATTCATCATGAGTTGAGAATTCCTTAAATAGTAGCATAGTTAAATAAATAGAAATTATCTAAGTTAGAAATTTCTACATTATATTCCAGAAACTTAAAAGATCTATTAAAGGGAGAATATATCATTAAAACGGTAATATATATATATATATATATATATATATATCATCACACCATAAAACAATTTCTTTATTGTCTAGGCAATTAATAGCTAAGCATATTAAAAAATATATTAAATACCTCTTTTGGTCTCTTACAATATTCTTTGTTTCAATTTAGTCTCACTTTAATTTTTAGTTTCAATTTGGTCCCCAATAATTTAAATCGTTCCAATTTGGGACTTCCGTCTAAATGAATTAAACGGAGTTAACTAGTGGCCACGTGGATACCAGGTGGATGCCACGTAGATGTCACGTAGGTGGATCCAAAAATACTTGAATACACCTGGAACCAGAACGGCCCGTTCTGGTTACATTATTTGTGTGTAAAATTTACACCTGGAACGGGCCGTTCCAGGTCCAAAATTAACACATCAACAGTGTAACCAGAACGGGCCGTTCTGATCCAGAATTTCCTGCACAAAAAAATCAAAATACAAAGCATTTTTTATAGGGAAAATACAAAGCATTTCAAACACTAGATTTAGTAATATTGTTAATGAGGATTAATAACTTCAATCGCTAAACATTTGGGCTATACAGTATATCATTAAGGATGATGCAGTGTATCACTAAGGACAATGGTAACAAGTTTTATTTCATTGTTAGTCAAACTGGAGTGAACCACTTACTACCAAATTGACACTATACAGTCAAGTATAAAATGAAACAATGTTTTTCCTTAAAGTCATTGACGATGTACCCCAACAATAACAACCTGTTCTTGAGGAGGTACCCCTAAACCCTGAATTTTATTTTCAATTTTTGAAATACATTGCGGCATTTTAATCAAGATTTTGAACTGGATAAATTCAAATCAAAGAAATATTTTGGAAGGTCTTATCTTATTTGATTTTTTTT